TGTCATATTCTTTGGATAATTTGTTAATGGTGATGATGATGTTGAAACTCATAATGAAAATCGAAGAATTTTATTTTATCGACTATATTTGTATTTGATGATGATAATGATGTTAAACGTTCCTTCTAAGATTGTATTGATGGATAATTACGAGCAAAATATTATGTAAGAATTTAAGACTATTATTAAGAACATATGTATCAAGTAATGTTGGATAATCTTTATTTGCAACTATTGATTTATGTGTATTTAATTCATTTTCTTGATTATCATTAATTCAAATATGATTATCGAAAGTAAATTCTATCACATAGACTTCCTGAACATTTAATGAACGACAATCAAATACTAATAATAAATCATTTAATCGTGTAGTTTTTAGTAAAATACATTGTCTTTTTACTCATTGATATGTAAAATAAAATGTACATTTTCTACCGATGTTATTGATGAAGTTTTCTTTGATATTGAGGATTCATTTGTTGTTGTTGAATTTGATGATGAACTAATTAATTTTGTTATTAATTCTTCTTGTATTGTTAATCCTAATGAAGCTAAATCAGCTTGTGGTATTTTTCTTCTATGATTATTCTTTATTAGTTCACTTGATGCTTTTATTAAGGAATTTGTATTTTTAGTATAATTTGTAGCTGTCCATATCTTTAGCTAATAACTAATTAAAAACAAATACTTTTTTCATTAACTGTCTAATATTCGTTGATATTGGACTATGTATATTCATTGGTTAGTGTCGTGTATCTATTACACATTGTGTATATTCGTGTTTAAGTACAACTACACTCCATATGTATTGTAACTATCCTGTTCATAGACAATCTTGTTCAAAACGTTGTTTAGTTAAATAAGCTAAATAAGATGATTTTAATGGCATATTTGTTTGATTTGTTCGACATCGTATAGATAATTTTTTTTCTTAAAAGCGTTATTGATTATGTTCATAAAATAGATGGTGATTGTATCAATGATGTTATTTCTATATACTTGATGCAATTGTCGTTTTTGAAAGCCATATTTGTACCATAAACTGTTGATATTTATGTTTGATCAGGATGACTTATTGGTTCATTAATCATTTATTGATTAAATGCATAATGACCATATAATGATGTTTGCTGCAAACCAATTGTATCATGATCAATTGGTTTATAAAAATCTATACGTAATTGTTTAACAATATTATTCATTAGGTAACTATATATATGACCATGGTGGTGGATATAAACGATGTGACGATGATGTTATTGTTGTTTGAAAATTACTATCTGATTGTACTAATATTTCAGGTGATGTTACATTTGGATTTGAACATGTTATTAAAGTCTTCACTAATGAATGACGAAGTTTTAGTAATATAATATTTCAAATACTATTTTTGTATTATGTCTTGAATAGATATGGGGTCATCCATAAAGGACGTCCAGGCAAAAATCGCATTTTTGGAGAGTGTGGGTGTGGGTGGTGGGTGTGGGTGTGGGTGTGGGTGTGGGTGTGGGTG